TTATGGCTTTGCGCCCCTTGGAGTAAAACTTCCCTTGCCTTTTGTCTTTTGGAATCAAGGCATATGCTTGGCATCTGAAAGGGCAAAATAAAGTTGGATCAACTCTCCTTTTAAACAGTATTTCATATGGGGTTTCTCCATGGAGTCCTGATGCTGGGCTGCGTGCTGTGATATATGCAGCTGTTTGCATGGCGTCTACCCAAAATGACTTTGGGAGCTTGGAATCATAAAGCATAGTGGTTGCTAATGTAGCCAATGTCTGATTCATGCGTTCTGCAATGCCATTTTGTTCCGGAGTATCTGCAGCTGTAGTTTCTTGGATGACACCATCTCCTCAGAGTTGATTTTTGAATGCATTGCCAGTATATTCTCCTCCCCCATCGCTCCGAAGGAATTCTGTGTATAGTGGAGTGAAGTTTTCTTCTCCCAAATGAGTCCGGAAGAATGTTTGGACATCTTCTTTCCATTGCTTGTATCGTTCCAGTGCTTCACTTTGTGTTTTAGGAAATATATCCATGGAAATTTGGAGAAATCATCTACAATGATAATCCAGTACGGAAAACCCTCCCGGGAGGTTGGTTTGATTGGTCCTCCAACATCTGTGTGCACAATTTGTATGGGGAGCTTGGCTCAGTTTCCTCCAGTGGACTTGAAAGGTAATTTCTTTATCTTTCCTAAAGCACAAGGTTCACAAAACTCCGGGGTTCCGGTAAGGGTGTCTATGTCCTGGAGCTGTCCTTTTGTAATCATTCATTGCAAGCGATCCATTCCAATGTGTCCCATTCTCCTGTGCAATAAATTTACATCTACTGCTGCAAAAGCTGACTCCGGGTTGATTTCAGGTTTTGCTTGGATGTGATAAAGTCCTCGCTTGTGTAAGGCAGTGAGGATAAGTTCCTTCTTTTTTTGAACTTCACAAGCATTTGACCCTGCTGGAAAAAGTGTTGATAACCCCGTTTTAGACAATTTGTGGACAGAGACAAGTGCTAAAGTGAGGTTTGGCACAAGTAAGACATTTGACAGTGCGATATTGTAGTCCTTTTTGCCAACAGTTGCTTGTAGGATTACAGTTCCAATTCCAATGGCATTTACAGAGGATTCAGAACATGGTATGTTCCTGGCTCAAACCAGGAGCAGTGAGGGACCATGTGAGATGTTGCTCCGGAGTCAATGATGATTGTTATTTTGGTCTTATTGGGTTCTAACACAAGGTAAGCTTGAATGCGTTTAGCAAAGAGCTTGGAAATATGTACATGTTCCAATGCAATATGACTCTGTTTCTCCTTGGAGTCAGATTCAGATGCTTGCTCCGCCGTATTTGCCTTTTCCTTCTCTTTTCCTTTATCCTTGTGTCTTTCCTTTCCCTTCTTCCTTTGACCTTTTCCAGCTGACTGAAGTGTTTGACACTCCGAGGTGTTGTGTGATTTAGCTTTGTGGAAGTCACACCACTTCTCCTCGGATTTGAGTGCTGATTTGGAACCTCCAGGAGCCTTCCCTGACTGTCGTGCAACTTCTGCAGTGATCCGGATCTCAACTGCATCAAAAGTAAGTTTATTTTCTTCAATCGTGTTGATTACCGATGACTGAAAAATTTGCCATTCAGGAATGCATGGGAGAGATTGGAGAAGAGCGAAGGCTATGAGTTTGGTATCAACTCCTAGTATCATTCCGGAGAGGTGTGAATCAATTGTCCGGATTTTCGCAATGTGGTCCTGGATAGGTGATATCCCATCCCAGGACAATTTGGTGAGTTGCTGGAATGAATAGAAGGCTGAGGCAATGTTGGACGTCTGATGGAGTGAGACAAGTTTATCAAATAACTCCTTGGAGCTGGTGAGGTCTCCAGTCCTCATTAGGAGGGCATCAGAGATGTGGTCCTGAATGATTCCATGTGCCTTCTCATCCTTAAGTATCCAGGTGATTTCAGGATCCTCTGAGGAGGTAGGTTTTCCTGGTGAGGGCTTAAGCTCCTCTCCAGTAACAACCCGGAGAACTTTTTCCCGACGTAACTTTGAGATGATCCGGAGTTTCCATATCTGAAAATTGTTGGGTCCAGTGAGAACTGGACATGTGGATGTATTGTGTGCTGTGGTCATGGTTCTGAGGGTTCCATTTCAAATAAGGATTATTTCCTGCGTAGTGTTACGCACGAAGTGCTTAACAAAGCCTGAGGGTTCGTCGAGGTTTGTAAAGAGACTTATCCAAAGACAAGTTCGAGAACATAGTTCTGAGTGGAGGTCTTCCAATGGGAGTTGGTCTTCTTCTGAGTAGAAGGCTGATCTTATGAGTCTAGCTTTGTAAGCGTAAACTGCGTAGAATCATATTAGAGAATACTACTGCTGTTACATGGTATTTATAATGAAAAGGAATCAGTGATAGGAGTTAGGTCCTATCTAGGGCAGGTCCATCTGTTGAGGACTAAGTACTATAATAGGTACTGCAAATGCGAGAGGAACAGAAGTGTACATTGTCGATGATGAGAACTGTTGTTAGAAAACCACACACAAAAACAAACTAACACACAATCCTCCCAGATTCCACAGAACTTGTTTATGGGCTTTGCCTCCTAGAACAGTGGGTGCTCTGGTTGTTTGTTGTCATGCACCAAAGTTGATTGGTAGCATGGACAGGTGTCAATAACAAAGCGAATATTCAAAAAGACTTGCCTTTGCGCCACACAGGCACATTGCCACGTGGAATAGTAATTAATATTACCTTTTTCAAACTTGTGGCTGATCAGCATCACCTCTATTAGGCAATCCAGTCACGCTCACCTTTGCTTTTCCATTCGGTACTTTCCGCATTTCGGCATTTTGGCAAATTTTTGCGTCGCCCCTGGCTACACATTGCATTGCGCCCTCGCTTTTGTTGTTTCCCTTACTCCCCTTCCTTTGCCTAGCCCCACCATGGGCCCCTTCCTCTCGTTTTTATTCTCACCTGACAGTCGTTTCTGGATCCCCATTCTAATCCACTTTTTTGTCACCTCCACCCTCCTCCTCCTCATTTTATTTGCACCCCCACCATTTCTGATGTCACCACTTTCTATCCGCTTCCGTCGCCAATCCGTTGACTACCACGTGCTACTGCTGATATGAGCAAAGCCCCGGCGGCCGGTCCAAATAGGGCAACAGGTCCATCTTCATGACGTTGATCTGCCATCATATACTATCAAAACATCGGTCGCTTGTCTTGCCTGGTTGGAGCGTGGTAGTTTTTGAGCTGGAGAAGGTTCATCCCCTTGCTTTGCCCATGTTCATCGCTGTCCCATTCACTTGGGTACACTTATCTTTTGTCCATCGTCTTCGCTACAGCTACACCTACCACACGCTGCCTGGGACTCACTTGTTCCAAATTGGAACTACTCCTCTCCCTCCCTCGTTTCATCAGGTGGTCCAACACAACCAGTCCATTGGTAAGGCCATGGAACTGTCGGATTTGGACTAGGTGGTGGACCGGTGGCTCCAGTTTCTTTTTCTTCAGCAGAACATTCATTTACAGTGCAATTATTTTTGATTTTTGAATCATTTTTATGGACACATATTTTTTAGAATGCCTGACTGACAATAAAGGAACTGTGTTGATACTGATAGTGTTTTGCCTTGCCTTTTTTTTACTGCATCTTCCCATGACATCATGATTTTCCTGCTCTCTTTTTGCTATTGGACTTTACTTTATGGCTGTACAAACCTGTGACATTACTCACAGCATTCATTGTTCTATCCCTTTCTTTTCCTTTTTTGACAATCTTATCCTGTACCTACGCAGGATTTGTCAGCATACATTCCTTCCTTCATGTTCTTTCTCATTCTTTTTACACAGCTATACTGTGCATAGCCTACTTTTCTTTTACTATATAAACCCCTGTATTTTACCTTGTAAAAAAACAAGAACTCTTCTTCTCTAATTTCAAGTTCACTATTCTGCTACTTGTGATCCAGTGTGGTCACAACACTTCCCACTGCTACCACTGTCAACTGCTGTCATTGTCACTTCCCACTTTTGAAGTCATTGTCATCCCTTTCAATTAGAGTCCTTCTGAGCACTACAGTTTGTGCGTCAGGAGCCTGCTATCACTGGGAACCTCATCATATTGTCGTTCTCAAACCTACCTTGTGCTACGATTAGCAAGGTAGTGCTCGTCTATACTCGCCACAAAGCCCCTATCTTTCTATAGTCCAACTATCCCTCCTCCTCAAAACCCACACCCATACATCTCTGGGTTTTACTTTGAAGGACCCTTATACATACCACCCCACGAACAACCAGAGCACCCACTGTTCTAGGAGGCAAAGCCCATAAACAAGTTCTGTGGAATCTGGGAGGATTGTGTGTTAGTTTGTTTTTGTATGTGGTTTTCTAACAACAGTTCTCATCATCGACAGCAGATGCAGGGTTTCCTTCTTGTCCTCAGCTCTTAGTGCCCTATAGAGGCAAACACTACCACCTGCAGGAGTATGCTCGCAACAATCGCAGGTAAGTCCTCCTTATCCTCTTCTACCTTATTCTAACATTTTCTAGGCCTCAAAACCCACGTGAATATTTCAGCCTTCAACATGCATCCGCTCGCAATGTCATCGAGCGGATTTTTGGCATCCTCAAATGGTGTTTTCGCATTCTCGTGTTCCCTCCTGAGTACAACATGGCTATTCAGGCCCGCATACCCCCTGCCCTCTGTATCATACACAATTTCATACGGGTCCATGACCCGTATAACATTGTAGACTTTGATGACACCCTAATTGAAGACCCCATCCCCAGCGCTGCCACAGGTACATTAGCTTCAGGCCCCCCCACCAAAGCAACCCGGGCAGAAGCCAACGCCAGGAGGGATCAGATAGCAAGTTTGATGTGGGAGGATTATCAGGCCGAGCTGCGTAGAAGACAATTAGTATGATATAACGTGATTTTCTTATGAATGATTCTAATATTTTGTGGCGTACAAACAAACATTCTGTTACATTGATCAAACAAAAAAGCAAGAAACATAACATGACTACTAATCAGACCTTTGTGAAAGAACTGATCCACGCCCTATGCAAATCTGTTGCATGCAACATATTCAAGTACGTATCCACCGCCCCAATTTCACGCTCAAATATATGCAGTAGTTCAACCTGCTTGGGAATCCCAAGCTTATGATCAAGCTCTTGCAGTGCTTGTATGGCAATACCCCTCCGTATATGGGATGGCTGTTTAGTGATGTCGAAGTTGTAGTGGGAGATGAAAGAGGAAGGAGTGATGGTGGATGTCCCTGGCGCGGATGATGGTATGACGGCAGAAGAACTGCCCTGCTTTGTTAAAGGGGTGTCGAATTCATTTCGGATTGTGTCTGTGATTCCCTTCATGATGGGCACAATCTGACCCAGCATATCATTCAACCCTGTCAAAGCAGTGGCAGTCATTGCATTGGCAGCCACACGAGGAGTTTTAGAGCTGTGGCTATGCACAGTCATGCCTGTGCTCTTGCTGCGAGTGGCAACCGACATGGCATCTGCATCTGCATTGGCATCCAACTCTGTGTCATGCTCCTTTTGTTTGCTACTAGAAGACCCGCGGGAGGCAGTTGATGATAAAGTTGAGGGAGCGGGCATTGATTTGGGGGATGGTACATCCCCTAGCCAGAGGTTAACGTTGGCATCATGGGAATGCATGTTGGTATTAATGCTCCTAGGCGTTTGTGGGGTAATAGCTACAGGGGGAGGAAACATAGATGATGATGGGGTAATGCTAGACACAGGAGGGCTATTTGGTACAGGTACAGAAGGGGGGGCAGAGTAAAAAATGTTTGCTCCCTTGGCAAAATGGCCACACATAAGATCTTCCATTGCTGAAAAATGGGTCCAGCCCTTGTTGCGAAAAATCTTGACACCAGGCTTCTTCTAGAGATGGATGAGATGAGCATCGCAATGTATGAAGTGAGTACTTACCTTTAAATACTCAGCCCACACTGTCTCACTCTCCACTGTAATACCTGCACCGCAATGTTGTCCCAATGAAAGCCCGACTGCTCTGACAGTGCTTTGACAGTTTGGTAGGTGGTTCTCAGCTAATAATTGGTCAAGAAAATACCATAGATTAACTGAGTTAATCAATGGTATGTACCCTCCCCCATTTTCCAGCGCAGTGCTCAGCCTCCTTCGCAGGGCTAACCTGGTGGATCTTCTGCAATTCTATGGCAGCCTTTGTCCAGAACTTCTTTGGGAAATTGAGCCCATTGCCAGCCTCAGATCAATGAGATTTTTAAAAAGAAATCAGTGTAGCTTCTTCTGCCTCTGACCACATCCTCCTGTCTTTTGTGCTAGTGGAAAGATGGCCATCACTGATATCAGATGGGGCAAATATGATATTTGGAGCTTGGTAGTCAGGTGTGTTGCTGGAGTGGGTGGCCATATCTGTTTCTCTATTCACTCTCAACCAGTAGTGAGGTCGTTTATAGTTGTGTAAAGAAGCCTTGAGGCCTGAGCTTGAGGCTTTCCTCTTGGACATGAGTTTATTGAGTTGGTGGTGGTCTGAGTCAAAAAGCACGGCACGGCACTCCTTGTGGCATATTGGCAGCCTATGGCGCTAAAAATGTGCAAAGTTTATTTTTCAATTTTTCATTCCCGTACAGTGCCTAACATACTTTACAGACAGCATAAGTTCACTGACTTAACATTTTGATCACTTGACAGTATGATTATTATTATTATTATTATTATTTATCATATAGCAAAAACATTGCACCAGTGGCAGAGCCACGGGCTGGACCTCGTAGCAAACACATCACACCAGTGGCAGAGCCACGGTAGTCTCCCCTAGGCATACCCTTTTGTTCCACTCGAGATTTCTGTTCTCGATGAGTCCCCCTTAGGACACCTGCGTTATCTTTTAACAGCATTTAGGAGGAAGACAGTTGTTCCTCCTATCAATGGTCTGCTTCCAAATGCGCCCAAGTAGCTGTCATACGGGAATCTCTTCCCATCAAGCAGCCAAACAAATGCGGCATGCCTTCCAAAAATGGTATTGTCACATGGAGCAGTTACCACAAGTTTGTTAATGTTGAACGTTGAAATGAACATACAACAACCTGTATTGCCTACAGGTTGTATATATATCCACCACCACTTAATGGTACAATACTCATGAACAGTAAATCCGGAAACCCCCGCTTTAATCTTAGTCCCTAATATTTTTCTCCACTTCATTTCCAACCAAGGTATTATTCCAACAACTCACAACCAGCACCAGGCTTTGAACTGTAGTACTTCACTCATTATGATTGATTGGCCTTCAAGTGTAGCTTCAAATATTTAGAGAGAGCCTGTATAACATGCATGAGTCGAATGAAAGTGTTGGTTTACCTGTTCCTGTAGTGGTCACAAAACAACACATTCCTGCCATCAATAAGGCTCCCAATTACTTCTAGTTGGTAGTCATGTATCATGGGGCCTCCGGGTATCAATAATGTATCAATTAAGTATATGGCCTTCATACTGTAAGGCGAAAATACAAAGGTAGATTGGCCATATTTGCAGGACTGAGCGACATTGAGTTGGATTGCTTCGGCAGACACGGCAATATGGACGCGACGTGTCTGTTTGTCCCCACACGTGACTCGCTTAGGGAGATTCCTGTACTACGGTTTTTGTCCTCACTTTGGATGCAGACTAGAGCCATGGGCTGGACATGGTGAAAAATTGCAGCGCCCCTAGTCAGCTGGGAGTAGGCGGGTAGCCGTACATGTGCGTGTGCAACTTCATCAATCACCAAGTCAAAGTCACAGATCATGATCAGACCAGTTACAGTCAGACTCAAGTTGTTGTTTTGTTTCGATCTATTCGGCAATGTCGTTGGTGAACTGATTCGCAGCCGCTTGTACACCGTCAACTCCATACTGCTGTAATGAAGGCAGCTCAACTGGAAATCAGATATTGTCCAGTGTTTGAGTTCATGGCTAATTACACCATGAAGGCACAACCCGAACCTATGAGCGTGACATTGGCACATTTCGACAGGTCCCTGCCCTACTTATGCCGTACGTCCAAGGGCCGTTGATTCATGCTGTGCATGCCTGTCGACTTTTACAGGTACGCACACCAAAAAAAAACTGGAGCTAGTAGATGGAATCTGCTACCGAAATGCGATCAGGTGAGTCCACTTAACGCTACTACGATGCTGTGGCGGAGGCCTTATCTATGCTTTTAGCTCCTTGACAAGTTGAGTTCCGAAAGTCCCTGGTTTGTTTTTTTACTGATGATGATCAGATGGGGCAGTGCGGCGCTCTGTCGGAAAAATCCACTTTCCATGGTTAGGCCGAGTGTGGTCTGATAAGATTGGCAGAAAACGGAGCATCAGATTAGATACAAAAGATTGCGAACAGGTCAGACCAGGTTTTATTCAGAATAATTGTTGCGATAGCCCTGAGATGTCCGAGTACACATGGCATTATGATGCGGCCGATTTGTCTGAAGGCCCTGATCATTATGATCGCTCCGGCCAAGGTGATAGGCCTTACCAGAACGGTCTTGCCGTTCGAGCTGAGGATTCCGATGGTGCTATATTGGTACCAGTAACAGTAGTCATATCTGAACAGACAGAACATGCCTGATTGTCCTGGTCCAAAGTCTTATTGTAGGTATGGCCTATATTATCTTTTCGAACCTTATAAGATAAATGCACGAAAAAAGTAGAGCTAGTTAATTGCACATGTGATATTCGAGCAATGAAGTATACAGAGTAAACGACCGAACTACACTGGCATCTCTATTAGGAAAATATAGAAGTACTGTTGGAAGAATGCATTGCTGACCGCTGGTTCGGCACTGGCGAAGTTGTTCACAACTTCGAGGCATACTGTTTGGAACAACAATTATTAAGACATATATATATTCAACAGCTGTCATGAATGTACAATTCAAACCAGTGTCTAAGAAAATACCAGGAATTGATGTGAATCCTTTGATTAGTCAGCTTCCAGTTGTTAATTCTGCTTTGAAAGGATAAGTATAAGTATTGTGAGACATGTCAAAACGCACCTGCATTAGTAGTGATGTCATTTGCAACTCGGGATTGGTGGTGTTGAACAGGTTGGGTTTACTTAGGAAGTTTGCGTGCAGTGATTTATATACTTTCTGTGGGTTGGTGGAGCCTCAGACGTCATGATTAGTAATTATAATGAAAATAGTGGATGAATCCACTCACCTTAGATTGAACTGAAAAACAGTCAGTTGTCGCCAACACTATGCCATCGAACGGCAAAAAACGACGACGTGATTCTACACCCATTGTTGAAGAGACTTCGTCATCCGAGAATAGCTCAAAACCTTTGGTCACTAGGCTCACCCATGAATCTTACAACGTCGCGAGTGATGGAGCATTATGATGGTCTCCGAGGGTTCCACAAATATTTGCGAAGGTTCCTGGCTGCCAACTGTGATGTAGCAAATGCTGAAGATCCCATTACTGTAAGCTCATCAATATATGCTCCCATATTTCTAGTCATAAGCTTCTAACGCTGTTCCTCACTTTACAGATTATAAATTATCAGTGCATATACATTAAATATCAATCCATGGAAGATTGGAACGAAGGATGCGATATTCTCCGATGTAACCCCAGCTTCAATCAAGAACCACGTTTCGACTTCGTTCTTGTCAACACGGACACCCCAGAGCCAACCCCTGCTCGACTCAAAAAGCTGATCAGAATATTTACTCAACATTCTTCATTTGACATTGCAGTGGTCAAGATGCTCAAGCTTTCGGCTGGAAACCCAAGGACTAGGTGGACGGGCGCTCGGCTGTATGATGAAGCCAGAGATTTTGAGCTAGTAAAAGCAGAGTACTTGGTTCGGGGAGTTCATATGATCAATGCGTTTGATCTCAAGGAGGGGAGCTTTTATTTAAACGATTTAATTGACGGCGACATGTTTTTACGTTTTGGGAATTGATATTAATACTTTTACATTTTGTCTATCAACTAATGACTCTGAGTCCGCTAAGTGTCTGAAGGAATCTGGTATGGCCCGCTCGTATTTTCCAATGTCGTGACAATGCCTGGTGAGAGGTAATCTGCGGTCCCGATTTTGCCACTTTCGCTGATTGGCCTGATCGTTTCATCTCTCATACCTGATTAGCGCTCGATCAGCGTCTGATCATGAACGCAACAGATTGACAGACAACACAGGATTATCTCAGATACTCACAGTGTCTGATCTGCTAAAATGGATTTTTCCGACATCTCTGGCTTTTTCCACTCCGTGCGCGTCAACACTTAAGGCTGAGGTTGTGCTTAAAGTGTTCTACCTTGCTGCGGAGAGTTTCCTCGGCATGAGCTCCTGGATCATGACACAGTGGAGCTATGGTGATCATCACGACTCCTTCTCCAACATCAGGAGCATCGTTACAGAGCATTTTGGATGGCACTGGTGGGTGGCAATACAAGCTTAAAATACCTTTTTTACACCTAAACTTCATTAAGCCAAGAAGTCTCGAATTGAAATATCATTTTTTGTGGTAACTTCGCAGGCCATAGCTAGATTAAAAACACGCTGCTTCCTTGTAATTTTTCCCTCACGCCCCTCATCTTCTGGCTTCTCCAGTCCACTCTAGCTTTCTCTCCCTACTAATTTCCAGGTACCAATTGAAATCTCTCGTTAATTCACTGCTCAGAAATGGAATGCACGACAGTCGACATCCACAGTACATTCGGTAAGTTTTTTTTTACAGGATTATAGGCATAGGATCACTCTAATCAGACCCTTGTTAGGCGCTGGCTTCATAGGAGCGATGGTCTCTACGATGTGAACTTATTCGGTTCCTCCTTCATACATACATTGATTCATAGTCATGAAATGATATGGTTTCAGCCTATATGGCATTACCACTCTACAGGTGTGTCCTCATGAATAGCGAACTCAGCAAGCAGCTCGATTTGCCAACTTGGTACTAGACATACTTGTACTTCATACATTATCCGAAGGATAGCCCTTATACCAAAGCACTCGTGAGTTCTTCATATTTCTATCTAAATGCTCTTCTTTCATCGTTAATGTATTCTAGGTAGCAGTCATTTGGTGAGCTATTATTGAAATGCTCGATCTTTACTGACTTGCGCTGATCAGGGTCTTGGATACGACACACATCACGTTCAGTGAGTGGCCCGATTATACCTAACTTGCGGAATATGCTTATGAGGTTTATGGAGTGTGCCATTGCATGTATTATTATCTTGTCAGTAAATACTGAATACTGCATAGCCCCTGCATCTCACGTAAAAGCACGCACAGATAACAAATTATTCTCAACCCTCCGCACTTGCTCAAGGCATCTGGTACGCTGTCGTTCTCATTTTTTGGTTGTATCATGCCTCCAAGGTCCAAAACAAACTCTAGGTCTTTGGACGTGAGTGCCCCAACTAGTCAATCACCGGTGTCTTAGCAGTTTATCACACACTTGGTAGATGTCCATGGCAGTGAATGTACGTCAAAATAAGCGTTACAGGTCTCACCTATAGTCAACTCATCAAATCAGCTTCTGATAGCAGTACTGGTGCAGACGTGTGTCTAATATACAGCCCTACGAAATCATATAATTGATTGTTTTTTCACCAGGTACTTTGCGTTGCTTATATTTCGATGTGAGTTCTCCTCTCCCCCACTTTGTTTATTTCTGATCTTGCGCGGAACCTTAAGTGAGTAGCATGAGGGTACGGTGGTGGATAACATCAATCATTGTACGCAGTTTGCCAATTTTGTTTACCATTTTAATCTGATGCCTTCTAAGATGCTCTTTGTAGTGGCTCACTTTGGTAAGGTCAAGATCATTTATTCGAATGCATTACTCATAGCGTAAATTGCATCTATATTGGGTGGAATACAGCTTTTGGACTAGGTTAGTACACCAAATCTTTTCCTTACTCTCAAAACTGATATCTTTGCAGAGACGGTTGCTCTCATGTATGATTACTATTTATCACGCTCCTCATAGCCTGACGATGATCCAATTTTGTTCAGGTACATCGGGAAAGACTTCACTGCGCTTCGTCAGATGATAGTGAGTTTATCGATCTTCTCTCTAGGTATTATATCAATGTCGGTTACACAGCTTATAGCAGCTATGCCGTTCGCATTATTTGCTGTCTTGTCTGATTTATGTATTACAGCCGCTTTATGCATTTTGCTTTACGGGAGGAGAGGTATATTCAGAAGGTAATGATCAATAAAATCAGTATTGCGTACTTTTATTGAATTCGGACATCAATCAGAACTCATGCCATTGTCGACACACTTATAGTCTATGCCATCAATCGATGTCTCCTCACTTCGTATGGCCTTGCCTCGCTTTTCATGTTGTCGTTCTACTAATTTCTTCGGATGTCAATCAGTGTTGTTGCCATCGTCGAGGTCATTATGGTGAGTCTTTATCTGCTGCTCTGAAGTCACAGTGCTTTAAGAATTTTGGTAGTTTGCCACGAGCCCAAATAGTCTGTGGTTCATTGCAATAGATTTTGTAATTGGAAAACGTGAGCACTTGTATTCTAGAAGGCTTTTCACTGAGTTGTGTACTTCAATGCAGTTTTCGCAAATTCGTTCCTCGCGTCGCTGAATAGTCGGAAGACCATTCGTGGCCGTGGTCTAGACCATGACACGGATTCGAGTGCGAACATCAACGCAGTCCATCTTTCGCGTTTACGAAGGTCGGCAACTGACGATGAAGCAGTATTACCAGGTAGAGAGGCATTCCCAGCAGACAAGGATGGCAGTAAAGGTGGTATTCTGGTAAGCTAGGTTCTATATATGTGATTCCGACTACATATCTTAATGGTTGCTATAGGTTGACAAAGTAATAGAGATAGCGTAGATGATCCCGAAAGTCGCCGATAAAGCAAGACTCACCGCCCTCATGACGCATATATTCTTCGCTATCACAGTAGTACCCATGTAAATCCCATGTAAATGTATCATGATATGAACCTATTTAATTTGTCTCTTTATATTGAAACCACACTCACCAGTTATTGAAGGCACACGCAAAGCCGGTGACTGGTTCACAGATCAATCTCAAACAACCGTTCAGAATGCCAAAGCCCCTTGCCAGTCAAGCAAAGACTGTACTTTCCAGGCAGTAATAAGGATACAACATCATTGTCATGGGTTTGCAACTGTACAACCTTCATACTCTACTCCAAGAAATTTGATAGCAATAGTAAAATGGTCGGATTAACTTGGTATCACCAGGACAGCCTAGGTACACGTAAAGAACAACGTGACCTATGAGTAGAATGTGGTACATGGATACAACTCGAATGCAGTACGTGGGCTTGCAAAGAGCAAGCGTGAACCTATGCAAAGATAAGGAAAAGGCGAAAAATCATAAATGAGAACATCCATGAAACATAAAAGAGGTTGAACCTGAGCAAAAACGTGTATCGATGATATGACGCAACACGATTATAGATCCGACTACTCACCTCAGCATACACTACCGTCTAGTAACACGTTTCCTCTCACGCCCGTCATCTTCTACTTCCATCGCATCTCCAACTTGACTTTGCACCTGTCCTTGATGGGCACCTAGAGCGGAATTGCGTGTGCTCCTGGTTCTTCTTCTACTGCTGCCCGAGGCCGACGAAGTATGGGTGGACTGAGACATGCTACTACTCCCTGGAGACGAATTTTCTACAGCAGTACCACCAGCTGAGTCTAACATCATCATCACAGCGTGACGACGCTTGGCGCCGGCTGAGAAATCGGTCACGGAAGGCGCATCGGAATCAGCCAAACCAGCAATGGTACTTGTAGGAGTTGCTGTGTCCTTGAAAGCATGTACAGAGAGCGGGCGAAATGTGGTATCCGAAGAGGCGGAACTGATAGAAGGGTTTACAGACATCAATGAATCTGGCATATCCTTTGGGCGTAAAGCGAGCGCACGAGATTTGATGGGACGTATGGCGGTTTGGAAATGATGGATAGGTCGAAGAGGGGCGTGGGGTGGTGGAGAAGGAGAAGATGGGCGCGATGTTAGGTTGGTCGCGTTCAGCGACAACGGAGAGTGCGGTGTGAGCGGTGCAATTGTCTTACCGCAACGTATAGGTAAGCATTAGATTGTGCAAATCTGAGATGATACGTACATGTTCCGCTACACGTTGTGGATTGGTTGACGGTCCGTTTTGAGTGGGATGGGAGGAGCTATCGGAGGGCTTTGCGCTGGTGGTGTTTGTTCTGTGTGCTGTACTAGGCGCTACAACGGTGGATCCGACGTTGGCTCGCCCCCCACCCCTCCCTTTTTCTTTTTCCCATTCCTCCTCTTCCTCCTCCTGCCTTGACTTTATAGCGTCCAATCGAGCTTCGATCCAGTCCATGACTTTTCCTATGGTCATCTCACTTCCATCGGGGTTGGTAGAAGTAGAGGGGGCGATGCCACCCGCCGAAACGCCTTGTTGTATCATCACTAGTAGATCCTGACATGCTGCTGCATATCCGGTGCTGTATGCACGTTTGGATGCATATCGCGAAGACTTGTAGAGGGTTGTAATGCTGAATGCGGCAGCTGTGAAAGCGTCGGTTGATTGATGACTACATGAAGATGGAGAAGAAAACTGGAAAAAGCGCACCTCTAAAATCACTGTTCATGTCTTTCTCTGCCTGTTCTAGATTTGCTGGCGGGAGGGAATTAGCCAGAACATTGAGGTTGAGGGACTCCATTAGAGTGCTGAAAGAAAGATGTTTGACACAGACACTGATGGGACTGTATGACTTAGTGCTTAAGTAATTTATAACACCGTGCAGCATAAGCAAATAATATTTATTGTAATACTTATAAATGATATTTTGCGTCGCTGTGCACTGAACGCTAAGCAACTGCGCTTCAGTGGCACTCATGGTCTGTGTATCTCGTTAGTAGTTATAACGAATTAATATCTTAGACCATTTTGCAACTGGTCATCCACACCGAAAAGTTATTCTATAGCACCTGTCGCTCCCACGGTTGTCCTGTAACTAGAGTGATTGATACTTCTCTGACGCACCTCTGATAAGAGGGGATAGGCACTTTGTGCTGCCTCCTTTATTAACCATTGGTTAATTAGATAGACTCTGGAAATGGGAGTCCGGACTCGAGGGACCTGCACAACCAGGCCAGATGGTATCATCAGTCACGTTACCTCCAGGATGGCATCAATTTGATCTCCTCACCAGTGTCGCCATCAACAGTGGACCTGCCCCTTCCCCCCCGCTTATGTCACAAAACCCATGGATCTACAACCTGTGGAGGCTCCTGTTCATTGACAGCTTTTGGGAATGCAGCTATGCAAGCCTATAGGCTGTCACTGCACAGGAGGTCATTCTAACACTATCACCCCAGTGCAGCGCATCTGTGTTGCTGCCGCCAATAATGCAGGACACTTCCCCGCCCTCCGATCACCCCTTCCTGCCACTCATAGAACTGGTACACACCATAAGGGCTCAACAGTACCTTCACCACTGTTGCTTACTAGTTCTCCCCGTCCTCCCTCCGATTTGCCGACTCCCAATGTTGTATAGACACACCAAAGAGGCCTGTGGATTGCCCAGTTATAGGAACATGTACCACATGCACCTATAACCTGTCACCATGACAAAACCGGATAAACCCGGTCTCTGCTAAAGTGGCCATTGTTCTCCTAGGAGTCTTTATACCTTAGCAAGTAGCACCTCCAACTATAAGTAGTAAGGGGTTTAGTATAGGAATACCTCAGTTGGTTCTATAGCCTCTTGGGCAGCGGCTGAGTTTCACTTAGATCTATTAGGTTATGAGCCCTGGTGGCACAAGAGCTACACAGGAAATAATTCTCATTTGAAACGACAACCTCGGAACCATGACCACAGCACACAATACCTCTGCATGTCCAGTTCTCACTGGACCCAACAATTTCCAGATATGGAAACTCCAGATTATCTCCAAGCTACATCGGGAAAAGGTTCTCCAAGTTTTTACTGGAGAGGAGTTCAAGCCCTCACCAGGAAAGCCCACCTCCTCAGAGGATCCTGAAATCACCTGGATACTCAAGGATGAGAAGGCACATGGAATCATTCAGGATTACATCTCTGATGCCCTCCTTGATGTGATGACAAAAACTGTAAATGAAAAGACTCTCAGTCTTTCTGGTAAATGACTGAGGTGTCTAAGGTAGGATGAGTGCACTTTTCTGTATCCTAATTAGGAAACTTATGTAATGTATCAAAATGTCGGAATAGTTGAATGAAAACGAATGAAAGAATGCCAAATCTATAGTAGTGTCTATGATATGCCAACACTCCTAATGAGGACTGGAGACCTCACCAGCTTCTGTGAGGCAATGCTAAACTATAACAAAAATAATAACCATCTCCTACTGCACTTGCAGGGAGTAAGAGGTACAATGAGTTTTGAGGTTGACAGATGCTAGAGTTTATAGCAGGTAGAGGACTGAGAGTAAACTCAGGGATTTCTGATAAGGAGTAAAGCAGGTAATTCAAGTAATAGAAAGCTAAAGAACTATACATAAGTATGTAGGGTTTTTATAGCTAACTGTCTATCTCCCGGACCGAAAGAGGAACAATAGAAAAGTGGTCTGAGGATGATACTAACCAATAAGAAAAAGAAGAACTATTGTACAATTCCAAGAATTAATCAGCAGGTGGGAAGATATACTAATAATAGGTATTGGTACACATGTTCAGGAACTGTATCCTCATGATGAGGTACAATCCTGACTAAAGTGTTTATCAATATATCCAGGCACTGATGCGGCGTGGAGCTGGTTGGTGAGATCCCTGCTACCAGTCCTTAGTGCTACCCAGTCTCTGATCTGATACCAAACTCATAGCCTTTGCTCTTCTTCAATCTCTCCCATGCATTCCTGAATGGCAAATATTTCAGTCATCAGTAATCAACACAATTGAAGAAAATAAACTTACCTTTGATATAGTTGAGATCCGGATCACTGCAGAAGTTACACAACAGTCAAGAAAGGCTCCTGGAGGTTCTGTAACAACCAAGAGTTAGTTACTCTGGTGCACACAGGAACACACTATAAAGGTAGTGAATGGGGAGTGGTTACCCCTTAGGCTGCAGAGAGTTTGTTGGTTAACAACAGGAGGACTCGCTGAGGAGTCTCCTTGATCTATTGGGATATTTATACTAATACAGAGAGTTTGTACTTATGTACTGTATAGTTAATAAAAGCAGTGGCTGATGATGTCAGAGGGTGCAGCCCGTGTGACCAGCTCCACTACATGAGAGAGTTTGTGTCTAACAGAAGAATAAAAGCAGCGCTGCGCGAGAAGGTGGAGTTAGAACAAAAAGGAAAGTGCCGCATGGCACGGAGTGTGAACTACAGTAAAAGGTTAAAGTGGAGAATGAAAATTAAAGGAAAGATCCAAAAATTGTGTTATCGTAACAGGTTCCGAATCAGCACTTGAGTCCAAGGAGAAGTGGTGTAATTTCCACAAAGTCAAATCACACAACACCTCAGAGTGTTGAACACTTCAGTCAGCTGGGAAAGGTCAAAAGAAGAAGGGAAAGGAGAAACACAAGGATAAAGGAAAAGAGAAGGAAAAGGGAAATATGGTGGAGCAATCATCTAGATCTGACTCCAAGGAGGAACAGAGTCATATTGCATCAGAACATGTACATGTTTCCAAGCCCCTTGCTAAACGCTGTCGATAATGAGAACTGCTGTTAGAAAACCACATACAAAAACAAACTAACACACAATCCTCCCAGATTCCACAGAACTTGTTTATGGGCTTTGCCTCCTAGAACAGTGGGTGCTCTGGTTGTTCGTGGGGTGGTATGTATAAGGGTCCTTCAAAGTAAAACCCAGAGATGTATGGGTGTGGGTTTTGAGGAGGAGTGATAGTTGGACTATAGAAAGATAGGGGCTTTGTGGCGAGTATAGACGAGCACTACCTTGCTAATCGTAGCACAAGGTAGGTTTGAGAACGACAATATGATGAGGTTCCCAGTGATAGCAGGCTCCTGACGCACAAACTGTAGTGCTCAGAAGGACTCTAATTGAAGGGGATGACAATGACTTCAAAAGTGGGAAGTGACAATAACAGCAGTTGACAGTGGTAGCAGTGGGAAGTGTTGTGACCACACTGGATCACAAGTAGCAGAGTAGTGAACTTGAAATTAGAGAAGAAGTCTGGAATCAAGTACTTGTTGTTGTTTTACAAGGTAAAATACAGGGGTTTATATAGTGAAAGAAAAGTAGGCTATGCACAGTATAGCTGTGTAAAAAGAATGAGAAAGAACATGAAGGAAGGAATGTATGCTGACAAATCCTGCGTAGGTACAGGATAAGATTGTCAAAAAAGGAAAAGAAAGGGATAGAACAATGAATGCTGTGAGTAATGTCACAGGTTTGTACAGCCATAAAGTAAAGTCCAATAGCAAAAAGAGAGCAGGAAAATCATGATGTCATGGGAAGATGCAGTAAAAAAAAGGCAAGGCAAAACACTATCAGTATCAACACAGTTCCTTTATTGTCAGTCAGGCATTCTAAAAAATATGTGTCCATAAAAATGATTTAAAAATCAAAAATAATTGCACTGTAAATGAATGTTCTGCTGAAGAAAAAGAAACTGGCGAAACGCGGAAAGTACCGAATGGAAAAGCAAAGGTGAGCGTGACTGGATTGCCTAATAGAGGTGGTGCTGATCAGCCACAAGTTTGAAACAGGCAGTATTAATTACTATTCCACGTGGCACTGTGCCTGCTGTCATGCACCAAAGTTGATTGGTAGCATGGACAGGTGTCAATAACGCGAATATTCAAAAAGACTCGCCT